TGGTGGTATAGGCCATGGGAAAACTTCCTGTACATTGTTAAGTAAAAACTTGTTCTCATGGCGACATTTGGAAACCAGTTCCGTTCTTTTGTTTAAAGTTCTGGGCTTATTACTAGTGATTATATAATATTTTCCCCATAAACAGATTAAATTTCTTTGAGCTGGGGAAGATGATGACCGTTTTAGCATTGACCAGGTGTTGTGTGCGTTTGTTTTCCAGGTTCCATTATTTCAAATGCTAATAAGAAAACAGCAACGGCAGATCTTGCATTTCAACAGTCCACAAATATCATGTAGGCCTACAATTAAAGAATTATCACATGTTGTCAAAACAGGCATGTTCGAATGTGAACCCAAAAACAAAAACACAAAAACATTGACAGATAGAAGATACTTTATTGTCTGAATTACAGAAAGTTCATCATGAGCTGACAGCCATTTCATTTCATGAGGCTGTTATATGCAATGATATGGCAAATCCAACTAGAGAGGGCAGCAGACACCTTTTCTGGAACATCAGACAGTAGTTCCAGTCAGCAAGTGTTAGTAACAAAATGGCCTTGACCAAAACAAATGTCCTTATATGAGGCCACTAGGACCCAAGAGGTTAATATTAAAAACATGTATTCTTATTTGTAATGGTTACAGCTCATATTTATCTGTTCAAAATATTTGGGTTTTTTCACGTACCAATAACAATAATTTTAACAATAAAAATAACAATAATAAATTTAAAAAAAATATTTGTTTTAAATTTGCCCAGTCTTTTACAGGGGAAGTTTAAATAACATTAATAATAAAGTAACAGTTCTAATAAATAAAATGTTTTGCCAATTCGTTTAAAGACTAGGTGATTCATACTGAATTACATAATTTCATAATCTTGCATTAGATTATATAATTATAACTTAATTTGTAATATGTCATTCAAATTATTCTCTCTAAAGAATTTCTATAAACTGTGCTATTATACACAAAATTGTCAATATTCACAAATTTCTCACTAAGGTTCTGTGTTCACACAGGTTTTCTGTGACAAAAATCTGTGATTTGCCCTTTTAATAATATGAAATTTATAATCCACCAATTCAAAATTTATCAAACGGGTTTCTTCCAAATGATTTTTAAAATAAATTATGTAGGTGATTGAAAGATAGAGGGATAAAGGTAGGAGAATAACTAATAACGTGCAGCGTCATTGTGCCGAACTGGGTATGGGTGTGGTCCGTGACTACCTCTAGCAGCCGTAAAGAGGCGCTTCATTGTGAATGTTCACATCATTCCACAACTAAAGGGGCTCAAATGAACCATAACATCGGGGTAAGACCCTACTCTTCTGAAAGATGCAATGGGTTCTTTAAAGTGCACATGAGCCAGATGTATACACTGGACCATCATTTTAAGTCCTTATCCGAGAAGACTTGGTTCTACCAACCGAACCATGGGCGAGGAGCCGCTGGAACCAGCGCCGATGTTAAATTATTAAATTTAATTATTTTTTTTTATTTTGGTCAACATATTCCAGTCAAAGAAAATAAATAATATAATACTAACAAAAATATACTAATTACCTATATATTAGCAATTTTTTATACAACTGTCTTATTACTAATTATAACTGGCTCCTGGCATTTGGGTTTGTAATGTGGAATGGCTGAGGGATGATTTTCATTAAAAAGTTAAAAACAACATTAACAATTACAATGAGATATTTTATAACTACAATTAGGTTTAAGATTAAGTTACCGTAAATTGAATTACATAATTATTGCGAAATCTTGCATTAACAATTTTAAAGGAATAATATATATACACAGTTTAAATCACATTTTCATTCGTAATTTACTAGCTGTACATCATAAAAACAATTACCTTTTCTTAGGCTGCAAAAATCTTACAACTAATACACAATGGGGGAAAACACAACCATTAAGAAAATACAAATATTCAATTGTTGATTGCAAAATGTTCACAAAATGAAATATAAATTTATATTTGGGAAAATCACAGCTATTTGACAGAAAACATTAACGTTGAAATTAATACTGAATTTACATTGATATTTATCAACTAGGTTCTCGCTTAATGTTTGTTCTCTAAAAATATGTAACTTTTATACCATTAATAATGTATCCATTTATTTACAATTTGTAAAAATAAAAAAAATAATACACTGCATGAAAGCTGTTTGTTCTTTAATCCTAACAAAATAAATTTTTGAAAACTACACTGATATACATTAGGAATCATATATAAAACCTCTAGACTAGACTGAAATGCATCTACTCTTGAGTTATCTGATTAGATAGCCAGCTATGTCTCACAGACAGTTTCACTGACTGAATGATGTTCCAGGTTTTTACTCATATCATATATATAATGCTACAAATGTGTAACAAATGAATGGAATTGCTGCTATACTGCAAGTTGCATATTAGACAACTGCTACAATTGTTCAGTACTCGGAAATAAGAGGTAAAAAGACATACCAACTAAATATTGTGCTAATTAAAGTAAAATAGCTTCAATGTTATTGGTTTATTTGTGACCTTTATATAAACTCGCTAATCTCTAAGTTCAATCAATTGGACTACATTGCTATCCAAAAGCGAGTTATCAGATTTATTTTGCGATAATTGAATGGTCCACATTCAAACAAGATAACTTGCTATAAGTGCTACGTGAACACAACTTACTTTATGTGCGCTTGTTATTGAATAAATTATGACAGCAAAGCCATAAGCTCATAGTCAAATCATGCAATTACTTAAAGCCCCACTTCCGGCAAAAAATTCACTAAAAAAAGATTTTTTTTTAGAAAAAATGCATATGCATACTCCAATTATTATAAACCATGGAAAAATATTGGCAAAAAATTGTTAGTTTTTACGCAAAAGGGTAAAAAATTAGAAATAGACTATTTCTCATAGAAGATTACCATTTTCATGATGACTTCATTATTAGGCAATTATTAAGAGGTTGCATCCGCTGGAATGCTCTAGCTTTTGTGTATGCTTTATACAGTCAATAAATTGTGCCCCCTCTAATAAGATCAGTTTTTGTAGTTCACACCTTGCACACTGTGGTCGATTGAGTAGGCTGAGATATGTTTGTTTAATTGTCAAAATCTTGGTCGGAATCATTATTTTAACAAATTTGAAATAATTCAATAAAATATTATATTTCACAAGTGTCAATACTAGCAATGGAAAATATCATATTAGCTGTTTTTATGTCTCATAGCAGAACCTAAATCGAGGTAAGGCTAGGCCTAGCCTAGTGAGTATTGATAGGCTAATGTTTCCAGCGCATACTATATTTTTTCGCAGACCTATTGCAAAATCAAATAAAAAAAAACATTTACTTTTTTTTTCATGTTTAGGAATGTCTACATTCAGTTAATCATGGCTTGCTTCTTGTTATTCAGAGTCACATTAATTTTACCATAGTAACTCTGTAAACGCTATGATATAGTTTTCTATGAATAGCGTATCTAAATACTAATACTAATACTAATAGTAATAAAGGTAGTCTATAGTCAAAGGTATTGAAAGGCAATTGAAAAAAAATACTCCTTAGCAAAATGTCTTCTTTTTTAATGAACATATTACCTATAAAAACGTCTAGCATTGAACATCAAAGAGCTTTCGATTTGTGTGACTACGATAGAACTGAATAATTCATGCGTGACAGTCCTATCGGGCATCCTACATTCTCTGCATACGTAGCTTTGACCAAACCACAAAGAGAACTTAACGTTCTTGCATGAGTAGATGACTTTTAGTGGTGTCATTACGTTCTCTGCATACATAGATTTGACCAAATTTCATCCTAGAAATGTTCTTGCATGCGCTGATGACTTTTAGTGACATCATTACGTTCTAAATCCTACCGTTGTCATACAATCGAAAGCTCCCTATTATGTCATGCATACAGTACTCACACATACTTGTTGCAAAAATACTGTATGGCAAATAACAGATTTGTGTAACTTTTATAGATATGTACTGAATACAATAAAATCATTTTGCTTCTTTCTTTAAATAAAAACTTGCTATTTAAATCACTCAAAATTATAGTTACTACAGTAATTAAACTGATTAAACCGATTATATTAGATTATAGACTGATTATTGTGTAATTATAGAACATTATATATACTTCAGGACGTACCCATCCAATCTATAGTCTGCATATAACATTCAACCACACATCTGCCATAGTCTTAAAGCATGTGACATGTTTGCAAAGTGAACTTGACAAGGTTGGATAATGTCAATGTTGAATGTAGGATGAAATTATTAAAACTCTCATGTGCCCAAGATTTTTCATCATAAATCCATACTATATACAGTATGTCACTACTTATGACAAAACCATCTCTTTGTTATTAAAATTCAAAATCGAGTGTTTGGTTTTTTAAAATTAAAATATACAAATATTCTATTACAGTGTACATTTTACAGGAATTAGTGAAGTTAATTCGTGAATGGACGTGTTAAGCAAACAGCTTCCGAGATTCCAAAATCAGTTGGTAAACATTAGGATTTGTATTTTTAAAATAATTTCTATATACTTTTCAGTTAGAAGATTTTTCTTCAATATCTCTTTTTTTAATAAAATTAGGAATTAATCGAAAAACTGATTCTGGGAAGTCATAGTGAAAGTGCAAAATTAGAAATGTAGACAAACTTTTGCAATATTGTATTTTATATTTACATATCTAACACAATTGTGCTTTTGTTTTGGTTCTTATACTTTATTTTAAGATCTAATATTTCTTAAAATTTTCAGCACCTCTTTCAAATTAAGTTGAGTTATTTTGAATTTTAGGGTCACCCATTTCTGAATTTGTTGTTCTTTATATTTATATTTTTTGTAGTGTTTACCATTTACCAAAATAATCTTTGAAAAAGAAAATTTTCTATCAAAAGAATTTCTTTCACCAATAAGAGTGATCGCAGGATATGCACAGTTCCATTATGCCGTTTGGTCTTTCAGCAGTGGAGACGTCTCATCAGCATCGTTTTTCTAAATAAACAAAGAATATATTTTTTTTTTATGAATTTCTACAACTTAAACATTTTATGATTTTCACTAGCATTACTTTAATGATCCAGAAAGAATCAAGCTCACTTTCGTCTCTTCTCTCCCTGTTGGACAGTAGATTGAGTGTTTTTCCCTCTAGATTTATCTATTATCAGTTTGTTTTTCCATGTTTAAAGATTAGTATTTGAACTCATGTTTTAAAATAGCCATTATTTTGGGCTAGTTGTTACATTTAACTTGTATTTAGAAATTTTGTAGTACTGTACTGAAATATTTGAAAATTTAAGGAAGATTCTAAATAATACATAAAATAATAGTAATATCGATGGAAGTGTAAATATTTTGAACAGAATGAAAACCAAATATATCTCACTAATGAACAAAATAAAAAAAGAAAATTAAAATATCTGGGACACTTAATCAGAAAAGAACAAGTACTGTAACAGGTAAGTATTGCTTTAACTAAGCTAATGAATTTTATTAATAATTCCAATTATTGCAAAATGCAGTAGGAATGCGTTAGTAGAAACCTTTTGTTATCTCGTTCGAAAACCAATTCATCAAGAAAGTTTTCCATTACCATACACTCTTAAGAAAAACTTGTTGCCATAGGTGGGACACACTTGGGCCGTAGTGCCATGAAATACATGGCATGAAATACATAGATTATGTAAAAATGGAAAGTGAATTCACAATCAGCAATAACTATGATTTTCTCAAGATAGTACATGTATTATAATCATCTAATATAGAATACTAGAGCACTCACTCCATACAGTACATACCTCCGCCCTGTGCTGAATACCGAACAATACGCAGGCCGTGTATGATGGGCGATTCTATTATTTTCGACCATGCATCTGAATACCATAAAATACGCAGGCCGTGTCAGATGGGCGATTCCAATATTTTCTTTTACGCTCAAGGGTTAAAAATTAAATTTCTGTGACCTTGAATATGCCATTGACCTTTTCTGCCCAAAATACAATCATCTCTTTCTAAAATTATTATGTACCATTCCACTAAATTTTATGATGATCCATTAATTAGTTTTACATAATCTTCCTAAAAAACAGACTGCAGTGATACATAACCTCATTTCACAGAGGCAATAATCAGATTCCATTGAAATGTTGCAAAAACATTTACTATAAGTACTGGTTCTTGATTAATCGCTTGGGATCCAGCAGCTTAATCTTGGGTTATGTGTACAGTATGTGAAAACAAGTAAAAACTAAAACTAGGCTTAAAATCATGACCGTTATTCCGGGGGATTGGTTCTCGAACAAGACAAAGAAAACTCTCTATTAACAAAAAATAATGAAATTAAGTGCTGCATAATCAAATTATAAATTTTAAAATTCAAACAAATTTTATTTATCTGCCTCATTATCATCAGGCACTGTGTGACCTATTCTCAAAAGTACTCATAAAATAAATATTTTATTTTGAGGCAGATACATAAACTGTGTTTGTTTTTAAAAAAATAATTAGTTTTTCCCTCTGAAATGAGGATTTTTTTTAAATAATATGAATAAGCAAATTTACAAAATAAAATGACAAATGATATTGAAATGAAAATAATGTGTCCCATACGTACATTAATGCTCAATTTGCATGGCTGAGTTACCTTTCGTCTTTTAACCAGTATCATTGTCATGGTAATAACTAATATTAGTCCAATTGCCAGCAGACCATACTCAACAGCAGTTGCTGCCTTTTGAGGAACCTGTACTTTATCTTTGAAGTCTTTCACCACTTTGTCAGTTGCTGATGCACTCTACAGTCAGAGAAAAAGTTGCAATTTATCTTTATTATGTAAATGATTTATGTAACTCACACCTGGACAAAAAGGAGTGAACATACCCAGAAAATGAGACCTCTGTAAAGAGTGTCCTTGTACACATTTTATAACATATGAAAGGTGGGACTACAGTAAATTATTGACACAAGTTCATCCGAACTCATTACATTGCCTTTCCCAAATTTCAAATCTAAAGATTCACTTAAGAATAAAGAGTGATAAAACCCAAACATATACAAAAATTAATTCGCTTGCAAAGTAATTTCAAATCCAATTTACAATCCTTCTGGGATCTCCTTAAGAAGGGGTTCCTTGTCCAGGGACACATATCATCAATGGAAAAAAAATTAGTTACAATTAGCAGGAGTTGGGTAATATCTAAACTTCATTATGAGATTGGATGTCAAGCCAGGAATGGGAACTACAGAAAAAATTCATAAAAAATTATAGGATTTACCTCATTCAACCACATTATTGGAAAATATGTCTTGGGAAAGTTCTTTAAAAATCTGTGGGGAAAAAAAAAAGATTTCACAAACTATAAATTATTTTTTCTTGAGATATGTCAATTAAAAAAATTATACTAAACAATAATAAAAAAAAAAGAAAACATATTAAACATCATAATTTCAGTTAGATTTTTACCACCAAGGAGGTTGTTTTTATTGTCATATATTTGTGTATGTTTGTCAAAAGCTTCCTGCCAACAGTTTTATCAGGAATCATCAATTATCAGTGATGACAAGACTTGATCAAGATTAATCACATTGGAAAGACAAAAATGAGCTACAAATCTCAGTAATGTTTGCATAGGATACAGCCATTGAGAATAAAGACAAAATAAAACAGGTAAGCGATATAGTCAAACAATTAACAGAGGCAGTTAATAATCACCAATCTACCTTACCTGAACCACAGAAAGATGTTCTTAGAATAGAACGATACTCACAATCATTCAACCTACGATTCAGAGGAATTAATAAGAATGATTGCGAAAAAGCAGTTAAATGTATCGAGGAATTTATTGAAAGTAAATTAAACTACCATGAGCATTGAAAAAAACACACATATTACTGGAAAAAAGACAAATAAACCCTGCCAAATTATAGCTAAATTTCTATATCATCCAGAAAGACTAGATGTGCTGCAAATAACTATTTGCTGAGTAACACAAAATGTCATATAAGGGAAGACTCACCACGGCAGGATCTAAAGTAAAAGTGAATTCTGCGCGACATCATATTTAGGGGAGGCAGTATACATGAAGATATACGTAGGAAATAGGTCTCTTCTTGCAGGTGTGATGTACCAAAAGTTAATGTAATAGCACCCTCTATCAACAGTAAAGTTTGATACTCTTTGGGCAAATCCGGACTTGTTGAGGAGCAAGAGAGAAACATGGCCATATGGAAACTGGAGTGCTTACATTTTTAAATCTTTCATCCCAGCTGTTCCCTAATAATAATTTTAATCACAGCTTGAACTATTGCATTATAACACTATATTTAACTCTTTGTAATCATCTTAATAATCTGTAAGTAGACAATTTATTTAGTGTAGTTATATGATGATAATTGGTATCGTGGCCTACTACTAGCCTTAGGCCTATGTGATGTAATTCACGGTGATGTCGTGTCATATTAATTATTGATCCAGTTTAGGAATCTGAGACTAGCTATATCAGGGACTGTATATTATATAGATCATTAGGTTTATAATTATTAACTCTGTAGGCAGGAAGCCTGATAATTGTTGTAGAGTTAATATGGTCTAAAATATTATCAAAGTCCATGTATCTGGGCCTATGTAGTGTAAATCAAACTACATAAAATACGGTCACCATACTGTTGACCAAACTTATGACACTCAGTGAATCGTACGATGATGGAATGTTTTGTTTTTATTAATAATCAGCCTATCTATGATACTGTTATATAATTTAATGATGTTAATGAAAGAGTACAGTAATTTAATTGATAATAATTTCTAATCACACTACGTTCTAAGATATCAATGTTGCATTTTACACATTAATGGTGCTAAAAATCTACAGAGTAGATGATTTGAATCATTGCATGATTATAGCATGATCATTGCACTTTAAATGTGTAGTGTGTTAATAAGGATGTTATCTAAACTTTGAAGATGATTAGAACTGTTGTTAGTTCATATTTTTGACCTGACACTTTAGTGCTCATGTTTATGATATGTGTTTATATGACAGGAGCCAGGGTAGTTAGGTGGGTTGTTGGTTTGTTTTGGTTTAACTCCCAAATTCAAAAAAATAAATCTTTTGTGAGATTTTATTTTGTTTTGTGGTTGATTGTTCAGATCCAGGTCGGGTTTATTTTTAATACTGTAGCTCTCAAAATATTGAATTGCTCTCTTTTGGCTATGAGGTTTTTCAGTCGACACATACACTGTATTTATAGGAGCCCATCAGGATTGCCGACAACCAGCAACGATGTAGGATGCTACTGAAATATTGCAGTTGCAATAATCAACGTGTGGTAATCAGTGATTTTAACTATATAGAAATTAACTGGAAGAGGTCAGTTGTTGATGGTATAATTGAGATAAATGTTGAAAGTTCAGAAGAGATACGAACTGAAAACAGTACATAATTAAAAGAAACATTGCCAGTTAGAACAGCAAAAACATTATTCAAAAACAAGCTTGCAGATGAGATTAAAGTGAACACAAAGGTGACATTTTTACCTCTTTTTTCAAATTTTATAGTTCATTTTTGTGCATTTGATATTTCTATATTTATATAATAAATAAGGATTGAGCCGTAGTAGTGTTGCTTATCACCTGTTGGCTTGCATCCTCCACTGCTGTATTTTTGACAACGATGCACCTGACCACACTGCATAAAAATTGTTCTGTATAGGAGTAATGTTTTGCACTACCTGACGTCTTATCGTGCCGAATAGTCAGTAAGTAAATAATATAAATTATAATTCTTCTATAATTAATTTTAGCTTTATTCTCTGTAAAAACATGTACTTTAAAAAAAAAAATACACTAATTTCTATGCTCAAGTTAATAACATTAATGTTGCTTCAAAATGAGCAAAGTTAATTTCAAAACTTATTTTATGATTTGTTGGTAATTTTTCAAGGTAGGCCCTGTACAAAATGCAAAACTCCAATAGGTTGGTCACACACAGCAACAGAAGTTGTTTACGTGCAGAGACTACTCTCATGTCAAAACATAAAGTCCAAAAACTTGTTTTGACTGATATTCAAAAACAGACAAAGATATTTGCCTAATTTTTAACACAAATTTGATTTAAGAAAATGATTTGGCGACCTACTCGTAGTTCGCAACCCACAGTATATAATATTTTGATCAACGCTGTGTTGTAAGCATGCTGGCAAAATCGGTTTTCCAACAAGGTGCTACAATAGTTACAATAGTTACAATGGTTGGCACTGAATCAATGACTACTGTATAATACACTTGCACTGGTCAAATGGATGAACAGTCTTCCAAGTGCAACGAACTTTACACTTAAGCCAAGCAGTGAAACACACAAAACACTGCTTAACCACTTTAGAGAGTAGTAGTAATACTAATGACTTTTAAAATGATAAAAATATTGATTGTAGTTACAGTTATATTGTTGATAGTGTTGATGATTAGGCTGTCTCTTATACACATCTAGATGTGTATAAGAGACAGCCATACTGTTGACCAAACTTATGACACTCAGTGAATCGTACGATGATGGAATGTTTTGTTTTTATTAATAATCAGCCTATCTATGATACTGTTATATAATTTAATGATGTTAATGAAAGAGTACAGTAATTTAATTGATAATAATTTCTAATCACACTACGTTCTAAGATATCAATGTCGCATTATTATCAAAGTCCATGTATGTAGGCCTATGTAGTAGTTCCAAATTGACGCTATAATCATGCATTGTATAATCACTGTATTGTAAGCATGCTGGCAAAATCGGTTTTCCAACAAGGTGCTACAATAGTTACAATGGTTGGCACTGAATCAAGGACTACTGTATAATACACTTGCACTGGTCAAATGGATGAACAGTCTTCCAAATGCAATGAACTTTACACTTAAGCCAAGCAGTGAAACACACAAAACACTGCTTAACCACTTTAGAGAGTAGTAGTAATACTAATGACTTTTAAAATGATAAAAATATTGATTGTAGTTACAGTTATATTGTTGATAGTGTTGATGATTAGGTATGAGATTTGTTTTTTTGTATTTGTGTCAAATCCATACATACAATAACATCCAATCATGACTCGTGTAACAAAAACCACTACTTTGAAAAAAAAAATGTAAAAAACTAATTAAAGCAATATCTTTTAATGGAAAACTTACGGTATATCTGGAAAAGGTCTTGTGTAAATGTTGATTTGAATCCTTTTTGCAACAAATAGAGAGGCACCAGTTAACTAAAAATAAAAGAAAGTATTGGTTGTGTTTTACATCACTCTAAATACAAATAATTATATAATTACATTGAAACATCCATTTTACTTATTCCTTGCAACTAAGGAAGTGCTTGTTAAGTGAGAAAACTGTAAAAATGATTTCATGAATCTGTCAGCCCACGAATTTCACGTCGGCAATCGGCAATTGCCGACCATATTGCCGAGCCAGAATTGCTATAGGACGGCAATTTTTTGCCGACCTAGGCCTAGATTTCTATGCTTCAAAAACTGCTTGGAAAGTCAAAAACTTTGAAACAGGCTACTGGTGGTTCACAAACAGATTTGTTTGTACATTAACTATTTCTAATAGGCATGCAGTACGTACGATTTGTGTATAATCGTCTTGCTTTTCTCGCCTAGTCGTTTTGAAGGCTAGGCCTAGGTAGGATTGACGCTAGCCAGCCAAGGCTTACAACATCGCCCAATTGAAGCCACGTGGGCCGCATAGATCGCATCATGACTTCACTAGTGACAAGTACTGTACATGTGTGGAAAATCCCTGATAGATCATTCTGGGCATGCGCATGGACATGCATGGGCAGTTTTGAAGCAGCCTGTGATGATTTGATCGTAGCTTTTAAGAAAGTGATATTTCCCATGCCAAAGATAACGATAAAACGAACGCTAAAACAAAATTTATTCGACTATTCTTTCAACAGCAATATATTGATTTAATAGAAAAATTAACAAAATCACAATCTGTTGAAAAATGCTTATACTATATAGGCCTAGGTAGTAAAAAATTGTCGAGGCTGCCGACCTCAGAGAATTTAAGGTCGGCAAATTTTTGCCGACCTAATTTTTTCCAAATTTCATGGGCTGATCTGTTCATCCACAAATCGTCAACATTTTAAAGCATTAAAAGCGTAGAGGCCAACTCTACCCATAAGTTACAGTAGCACAAAATTAAAGTATGATTGATGTCAATGTGAAAAATAGCCACAAATTGTGGTATCAATATCAACGACGAGGTCAGCAGATGTCTAATAAATATAATTTTTCACCATATAATATGTTCTAAATCATTTCACCACATCTTAAAATTGCCTCATTAATTATTTTCATTCTAGGAGCCATTTGACCCAGAAAACAATCATCAAACTCAATTTTGGACAGCACCCTTCTTCAAGCATATCCTAATACAACCACTGCTCCCACTTTAATAGACCATGGTAAGTATTTATATGTTTTAGGAACAGGCCTAATATTCAAGTGTGTTGGAAATGACGACACAATTCATATGGGATCACTTGTCTTATAGATTCTGGGTCACAAAAAAGCAACCATGGATCTAGGCCTAGAGTAGGTCTAGATGGTAAGTTAGCAGACCTGGTACAACAGGCAGTAAATATTCTCTATTGCCAAGTTTATGGATGTTCCATGGCAAAAAAAAAAGAGAAACTTGAAAAATAGAGTAAAATAGAGTATAAAGTTGCATGTTTGCAACTTGGCAACAAATAGTTATACCTTCTAAAATTTTGAAGAACCTAAAATTACAAAACTTGGTATATTGCAAAGTTACTACCGATTTATACAAATACATTGTTTTACCTCAGAAACATTGAGAGTTGTTAGGCGCTGTATTTCCGTGACTGAATTTTTGAATTTATCATGTCAGGGGCAATCATGTGCATTATCTCAATTGTGCATGTCATCATTAAGATTGTTGATGTGTTTAAAACACCATCAACCAGTAGATTTTTCTGTCCAAATTTCAAGGGAAAAAACTTATCTCAAAATCGACAAAACTTGGAGTTGTGTTGTCTTTCCATGGACGGCCGCCAAAAATTACTCAGATATATTAAAGGGGTGCAATTTCTCAACAAAATGTTTACATGGATTAGCTATCACACTACACAAACCTGGTACAATTTGCAAAACAGTGACAGTGTAAAAAGAGTATAAAAACACCTCATCAAAATTACAGTATTTATGATGACTTACAGGCTCTGCATCAAACAAAATCTGATGTTCCTCCTTCTTTGGTTCCATTCCTCCAACCATTTCTAGAACATCTGCATCAGCATACAGGAAATGTGGAAGTGAAAAAACTACTGGTGCATCTGAAATGAGAAAAGCAATAGCATATCTAAAGATCAGCTACTGATACAGTAGACAAATCTACATGGTTTCTAAAGCATATGTGCTTGGTTGTCAAATGTTAGCATATGCTTTAATAGTTTAAAATGCCCGAAGATAAACTTAAGGGTAAAGCAGTGTCAGGAGTCTCAAGTCTCCTGGAACTCGCAGGAAACTACCGGAAATCAGGACGGCCTCCCACACTCCCGGAAAATTAACCAATCTCTGCAAATTCATAAATTTTGCATGTTTTTTGCTAAACTTATTATCATTTTTTTTTTTTGCTAATTAAATGTGTGTGCTCGTTAACCAGATCAGTGGCAGATTCAAGGGAAAGGGCAAGCCGGCCTGGGCCACCTAATTATTTCAAAAGAAAAGAACATTACATTCAAATTTAAGTTTAAGAGAGCCATTTCCAGCCATCTAGAGGTGCCATAATCATAAATTTCTTACCTCAGCTCCAACCATGGTGGAGCTGATGTGGTCTAGACCCTCTATCTGTCTCTCCCTTCAATCACCCCACTCCCACCCTTCGACCCGCCACCGCAATCTCCCAAAAATGACTTCTTCCAACTTGGGACCGCTGTAGTTTATGTCAGCATCATCAAGTATGGGAAGCATGCATGCTGAGTTAAGACTTGATGAAGCTGAGCATTATCAAGTGTAAAGCACTTGATAATTAGTGTGAAACACCTAATGAAGCTGAGCATTATCAAGTGTGTAAAGCACTTGATAATTAGTGTGAAACACCTGATGAAGCTGAGCATTATCAAGTGTGTAAAGCACACATGCTTAGTGTGAAACATCTGATGAAGCTGAGCATTATCAAGTGTGTAAAGCACACATGCTTAGTGTGAAACACCTGATGAAGCTGAGCATTATCAAGTGTGTAAAGCACACATGATTAGTGTGAAACACCTGAAGAAGCTGAGCATTATCAAGTGTGTAAAGCACACATGCTTAGTGTGAAACACCTGAAGAAGCTGAGCATTATCAAGTGTGTAAAGCACACATGCTTAGTGTGAAACACCTGATGAAGCTGAGCATTATCAAGTGTGTAAAGCACACCATGCTTAGTGTGAAACACCTGAAGAAGCTGAGCATTATCAAGTGTGTAAAGCACACATGCTTAGTGTGAAACACCTGATGAAGCTGAGCATTATCAAGTGTGTAAAGCACACATGCTTAGTGTGAAACACCTGATGAAGCTGGACATTGTCAACAGTGTAAAGCACACATGCTTAGTGTGAAACACCTGATGAAGCTGAGCATTATCAAGTGTGTAAAGCACACATGCTTAGTGTGAAACACCTGATGAAGCTGAGCATTATCAAGTGTGTAAAGCACACATGCTTAGTGTGAAACACCTGATGAAGCTGAGCATTATCAAGTGTGTAAAGCACACATGCTTAGTGTGAAACACCTGATGAAGCTGAGCATTATCAAGTGTGTAAAGCACACATGCTTAGTGTGAAACACCTGATGAAGCTGAGCATTATCAAGTGTGTAAAGCACACATGCTTAGTGTGAAACACCTGATGAAGCTGAGCATTATCAAGTGTGTAAAGCACACATGCTTAGTGTGAAACACCTGATGAAGCTGAGCATTATCAAGTGTGTAAAGCACACATGCTTAGTGTGAAACACCTGATGAAGCTGAGCATTATCAAGTGTGTAAAGCACACATGCTTAGTGTGAAACACCTGATGAAGCTGAGCATTATCAAGTGTGTAAAGCACACATGCTTAGTGTGAAACACCTGATGAAGCTGAGCATTATCAAGTGTGTAAAGCACACATGCTTAGTGTGAAACACCTGATGAAGCTGAGCATTATCAAGTGTGTAAAGCACACATGCTTAGTGTGAAACACCTGATGAAGCTGAGCATTATCAAGTGTGTAAAGCACACATGCTTAGTGTGCCCGCACCCCTATTTCAAGACTTCTAGATACGCCACTGATTATCAAGTGTGTAAAGCACACATGCTTAGTGTGAAACTGCTGATGAAGCTGAGCACATTCAAGTGTGGGAGGCACAAAATACTTACAAGAAACACCTGATAAAGCCAAGCATTATTAAAGTAGGTGACTAAAGTACCCATGTTTATTGTGAAACCCCTGAGAAAGCAATGACTATCAAAATCCTCAAATAAGGAACAGCACGTCAGATGGTGATCAGTGATCACTGAGCAACCAGTCACTGCAACCTGGCAGTTTGATTTAATATACAGCCTAAATATAATTATATAAAACAGAGTTACTGACTCGTATAATTATAGTTATTTTGGACCCTATAGAAAATAGAAGCCTAGGAACTATAATCTCCTTCAAAAATTGCCTTCAGCCCTGTGGGCTTCAGGCAAATTTTTCACGAAATATTGGCTTCTTCAGCTTCTATTTTCTTTAGGGTCCTCAGAAATGGACTATAATTGCATATCATACGTTAATCTGGTAAGTGCCGAGATTTGTCAATTCTTGTATTGTTCTATAGCAGGCTAACGTGGCTACACATTTTATTAATTATAATTTATATATAAATAATGATATAAAAAAGAACTACTAAACATAGCTTACTTTGTTGGCAATTGCTACCATTGAGTAAACCACCTGGTAAACAATTAGCCACAGTAGGTGTACAGAACCCAGCATTATCGGGATTTACAGACACATTTGCATACAGCTCCGGTGGAACAACATACCGATACAATTTTATGTTTTTATATTTGTATTGTTTATCAAGTATTAAATATGCTGACCTGCAAGATAAAACAAATCTTTTAGTTTACCTCAGTGCGTATTTCATATATATAAACGCTTTCTGAAAATAGCCTTCTAAAGCCCACATGCATAATGGTCTGGTTGTTCTTCGTTAAACCACAGCACAGCAGTGGTAAAAGTCTACTCAGCAAAGACGACTACACGAATTGGAAAACTGCATCCCAATATCAGAGATAAACAAAAAACAAGCCAATATGATGATTGGATAAGCCGAATGAAAATAGCCAATAAAATCGTCAACAAAACGAACCAGTCACATATAGCCAAAGTTTGATATGGTTAAGCAAGAAATATTTTTGGTGATGTCTTGGTATACATAGTTGCGAAGTCTTGGCTTGCCATACAGTAAATATTGGATGACCACAGAGTGCGAATAATTATGTATGAATAAACAAGCCACCAACCTGACAGTGAGAATTTTTTGCATAGTGCATAGTACTATATATCTCATCTCTCTGCTCTAAGGCCAAAAGAAATTATAACGTTCAGACTGTCAGTCAGACAGGATTTTTAAATTACATGCCTACATGTAGGTTTCATGACTAACATTTGCTCACCTCATGTATTCTGGCTGGTAACATATCATGTAATCATCAGGCAAATAGTTAAAGATAAAAGGAGTTAATTTTAAAAACTATTTTGGGCCAAAAAAAGGCTACCCTAGATATTTTTTTATTAATTTTTAATAATCCTTCAGCAACACAATTTTCTCCCCAATTAGACAATTAGTTTAAACAATACAAACCTGCAAATATCGGAAGAGAACAGCCATAACTTCTGATCCTTTTTCAAAAAAGGTGGATTAAGACTCCCATCTAATAGAGAAGATTAAAAAGAAAATTTAAAAAACCACTTAATCACCAACAGTTAAATATTCATTAAAAAACATTTTCATGTACAGTACTTCGAGCAGCAAAAACGTTTGTAGCTGTGTGTCCAATTAACCTACATTCTGCAAACTGTAGGTCGCGACCTATGGCCTAACATTATGCGCATATTTAGGGGTATTGAAATCGGGAGACGGATGTGGAGCACAAAGGTGTAGTGATAAAGTGAGGGGAAATTAGCTGGATTTTAAGCTACTTCAGTATAAGTATTTTCTTACAAAAACTTCCAGTAGGTATATTAGGTTGTACGAGGCGGTAAGTTATCTTAAACATAAAATGTCTGTCCATATAAATTTGAATTGCTCTATTTGTATTTAAAATTACTGTATATGTTCGAATAAGCGTTGCTCTTAAATAAGTGCCACACCAAATGTGATTATATCGTAAGTGCCGCGGTGCTTAATCAAGAGTATGTACTACGTGGTGAGTAATGAAACACTATGAGAAACAGGGTCTTATATATAATGTATATAGTATTAAAATGAATAACACAATGAAGACACAAGCATTTCTTTATAAACGTATATTTACGAAGACGAATGACCTACAATAGGCCTACCAAACTACAGAAATAACTTGAAATAGGTAACATGGGAACAGGCCTGGAAAGCGCCACGCTAATATTTTTTAAAAGCGCCGATCTTGAATACAAGCACTGCTGTCAAATGAATGTTGCACTGAAGTTTTATAAGCGCCGCAGCGCTTATTCAAGCATTTACGGTACTCATGTTACAACTGAAAATATGAATGAAAAATTTAATCAAGATAGTTAAATAATACCTTTTCTGTATTATTTTGCATTATTATTAACGTTAAATGCATCAAAGCTCCAGCATTTTGCACTATATACTGTAAGTTTAACTTTATTATGTATGTGTATGTATGTATGTGTGTTTAACTTTATTATTATACTCTTAAACTCACTGGTAAATCAATTTATGGTTTTTGTAGTAAATAGGGAAAAAGCTTTTATTTTTTTATACTGTTGCTGGAAAGAAGGTAATAACTTTAATACATACTTACGACTTGGGAAACCTCAAATGCAATGAAGATTACCAAGGAAGATTTTAATATATCTTGGGTAGTTGCGTGATTGAACTCACCTGTGCCGTTGAGCATATTTGCATATTTGTCGGACCAGAAGTCCAAGGATCGCTGCCCTTTATAAGATACAATTTTGTTAACTTTTTTCACTTCATCTTCGCCTGAATATATAACATACTCTCCATCATCTGTGTTATTTTTCTAAAACAAAAGACATACACAATTTAAATAAATATTCCTGCAGCCATAAAAAAAAACTCCACCAAAATTGGTTTAGTACTAAACCACACATTCAGTCGCATATCTAGGAGACTTGAAATGGGTAAAGGTGTAGTGGGGGAGGGGGGAGGGATCAATGACTAAGTGAGGGGCACCTTGCAAAATCAGGTGATATGAGGGCATTTTTTATTTACTTGAGCATGATATTTTTGCTTTGAAAACTTTTTTAGGGGCAGGGACATGCACCCCACCCTCCCTCCTCCCCCACCTTTATGTATGCCACTGCACACATTACTTTTGGGACCAAGTATTTCCTTCCAATGATAAAAGATACATGAGCCAGTGCTGAATTTGAGTTGGTCTGTAAGTGAAAGCATTGTTAATAAAAGACTTGTGCTTAGCAAGTCAAAACTTACAGCTAATTAATCAGAGCAATGTGTAACACTTTCACTTTTTTACATGAAGTGAATATGATGAAAGCAACAATAATGTGGCAAAGAAAAAAACTATTTTTAAGGAGACAAGGTTTACAAGAAATATCAAATGAATTGATTGGATCGAGGGAAAATACAGGCTTTTGTAAATGGTGCACAAAACTGTATTATTTCTAAGGTTACAACTCATAGTTTTTCTGGTTTTCCTAATTATATTGAAATATTATTCATTGGAGAATACAATGAATATTTTTCTATCGCTAACTCTTATGTATGTAATAATTAATAATGGTTATAGTAATTTGAGTGCATATTTTTTTTTTAATTTAATTTTTTGTTTTTGTTTTGTGATGATTGTTATACTGGATATGCATATAATAATCAAATAAAATAATGACATCTGAAATTGTACCACGAGTGATCAATACATTTATTTATCTATGCGGTGGCCCTCATGGTAGTGGCATATGATTTAATTTACTATATAATGTCAGGAATTTTTACTATAATTTTGGTCCAATAAAAACATTCTCTGAGTTCTGAGTTCAAAAATGTTCAATCACTTTTGAACTGACTATCTGTAATACTAGAAATTACTTACCCCAGCATAAAAACCAAAATAAGAAGACGGCATTAAATTAAGTTCGTGAGCTAATTTCAGCAAAGGATCTTCGTAGCCCCACAGGATATCATGTACTGATAGCGTAAGAAATGTATCATAGCCTATAATTTCCATTATCAGTGCCAGAATCCCATTTATTGGACCACTCTCATACTGGAGAAGGTTCACAATAGTCTGAAAAAAAAAAAAAACACTCAAGACTTCAACATTTCTTGAAATTTAATAATTTTTTAAAATGATTATTCAATTAAAGTACCCTTTTGTTATACAATCTCTCAATAAAGACATCACAAGCTGTTTTGAAAGGTTGAACAGTGTCTGCAGCAGTGGTATATCTAAGAGTCTTGAATTTTCCCCCCACACCCCCTAGCATATGCCACTGGTCTGCAAAAAAGGCCACAACGTATGTTACGTTTAACCTGATACGTTTTGCGTTAGATCGTTTTAGGATTAGTTCATAAACAGCGTCCTCAAGAAGTTCTCGAGTCCTTAAGTCGAATTTAAATATCCAGGTGCAATAGCAATTTTGTGACTAATTCAATGCTGTGTGTAATTCATACTAACTTGCCATTTCGAGAGTGACGGACGTGGTCTGATAGGTGTAAAGCCTGCGCGTTTTGCAGGCCTATCAGAAATTGTGATAGGTGTAAAGCCTGCGCATCTTGCGGGCCTATCATATGTTTAATAAATGAAACCAGTGTGCCATAGTTTGATAGGTGTAAAGCCTGCGCGTCTTGCAGGCCTATCATGTTGAATTGTATGTTGCAATTTTGGCGAATAAAACTGGTCGTTATGTCGTGGTTCATGTGTGTGTGACCCAAAGTGACAACAGAAGTCCGGAGACTCTGAAATGGACGTCATGTTAACAAGTTACTATCGAAAACCGTTACTGTGCTGTTTGTTTGTCTGTTGATTTGGTTGTTATTCAGTGCAAAACATAACTGCTGTGATAGTGAATGTTTGGTCAATGGTTGTGCTGACAGAACTATTATGATACATGGTGAAGGAGCAACTGCGTGTTGGCGCCGATTCGTGTGTTGCGACTCTTATTATTTATCAATATGATACCAGCACTGCAAAAGTAAGATGGTTTCAATGAGATTTGAAATTGGAGCACTTCTTTAAATAAGCCTAATACTTTGTTACAGTCGCGTATTAATATCTCGTTGTTTAAATATAAGTTCGTGTAGACACAGCTATTATCAAATATAAACTTAAATATAAAATATGTTTAATATGGTCATTTTCTAGACGTATTATCTGCGCACCGTATATTGCATGTTGTTTATGTGGAAACTATAAGACTAACTAAAAATAACGTAAATGGTGTTATATACCACACCACGTTAATGAATGGAAATGAGTGATGGTATATATTGTTTGATGATATTAAATTAAACGTATAAAGAAACTACAATCAAGTTGTCTTGGTTCATTGTTGAGGTCTAGTATCTGAGAACGGAATCTAATTACTTTGAACTTGGGCGCTAACTTAATGTAATATCTGAAAGCAAGTTAGCAACGTATAAAGTCTTTAATTATGTTGCTTCTCTCCTCTAACATACAGTAGGAGGCATGTTTGTGCCTGTGTGAATTAGTTTATGATTTAAATTTTTACGCTATAAATGCAAGGCCAGGCAATAAATACATACATTTTATTAAAAAACAAGAAATTTTATACAATTCATAGTTGCATTGTCTTTACAGTAGATTACTGCCACTCAGGCCTTTTATCAAAATTTCTTGAAATCAGTGTTAAACTAGAAATTACAGAGATATAGTAGTATTGTACCGCCATTTTTATTATTACTTTAATATGCTCTTAGTTTGTCAACAAGCAGCTATGTACTTCACATTATTACTTAAGTCACCATTCCACAACCTGTGGGTTGTGGAATGGTGACTTCAGATTGTAGAAAATTTACTTACAAATGACAAAAAGCAAAATCAAAATTACAGTACAGTATGTGCGTAAGTCATGCGTCAGTTTACTTATGTAATGTGTGTGGGATAGTTTCAAGTTCAATAATATACTATCTCTAAATCTCCCTAAAAGATAATTCTATAATGTTGGTTTGGGTGCAAAAACAATAACATTCCAAAGTCATATTTGAGTGTAGTCAAAAGCATGCATATTAAATCGTCTAAAATGTAATGAAGTTAACTTACAAATCCAACTATTATTATTATTATTAGAAGATGCTTTTTATAATATAAAGCTTTAATGATTCATAGAGTTTTGAGAGGCCTTCTAGGGGCCTAGGCCATTGCTAGGGCTTGGTCTAAAGTGCGATTCACCACATCCAACACTGACTAAAGGGGATCGTTATTGATTTAGAAGTACTGTACATGTTAAGCTCTAATACTATTGAAGTCAAAGTCAATCAACCTTTTGCGCTTGGTTACTTAGTGATTTGGTAAAAGAAATTTCATGTTAAAAGTAAAGAAATCGCAATTATGGTGTCGTTTACAACATACGCATTCAGCAAAAACAGTCGCCGAACTGCTATCTTTACAGTGTCAAGTTAACTTGAGTGTTCAAAACAATAACAAAGTACGGTCAGATGCAAAAAGTGGCTTAGACAAACTTGTATTGCTGAATTGTGGAATGTTTCTTTTCACTACGATGACCAATGAATCAGAAGAAGTTGTTTGTATGACTATCTAGTCTAGGGCTAGGCTTGCCTTGTTCACGTGACAAGGCTATGCTCACTGTGTCGTGTACAACTGTCTATGCAAAAATGTTCAAGCTTTCCATCTGTTTCTTTCACTCAACTTAAAATCTGACTGGCCAAAATTACTGAAGTTTATTTAGGAACATTTATCAAGGCTTTTTGATAATTTACATTAAAATGTATAAGTAAACAAGTTTGAGGAGTTTAAAAACAGTCAAAATTTATTCAAGACAAGGTTTATTATTGTGTGAAAAAACTGCCACCTACAGTAGCGGTGTGTTTTGATGTTATACACTATAGGTTTGGTGACTAATTCGGTCTATTTTTAAATTAAAATATATTGATATTGTAACAAACGTACTATCCATAGTGTCTTGTTATTTTCAAACAAATGTGCTGTGTAGGCCTATAGTTTGTCATCATTTGGACACAGGGTCCTCTTTTATTTTGTTAGGCCACTGGCCCATCAAATAAAAACACATGTTTTCTATAGTTTGTAACAGTAATAGTGATATTCGTCATTACAGTACAGTAATAAATGAGCTTTCATTACACAGGCTTACCTGTTCACACTATATTTGCAATTGACATGTTTACAACAATGTCTTTAATTTTACACTGTATGCCTGGGAAAGGCAATCTACGGTCCTGATGTAAGCTATGCTTCTAAATAAATTTGAATAATATGTTTGAAATACAGTTTGAAACAAAAGCAATAAATAAATTTGTGAGGGTAAAATAAAAATATCATACCATCAGTGGAACGTTGAGCGTTGTGAATTTGTCCTCTAGCGGATCTCCTACGGACATGGATGGTTCAAATACGTACGTCTTTGGTGCCGTGTAAGAAATCGTATGATTATCATAAAATGTTATGTTTTCCTTTGGCCAGTATTCTCTAAATAGAAGAAAATGATTACCGTATACATATTGAAAGTAAAAATTCATATTTTAATATTATCAATTATTCATAATTATTAAATGGAAACCACTTTCAGCACAACCGTATCAATTTGTTTGGCTCACTTAACTACAAACGCCCCGCCGTGAAAATCGCCCTTTCTCTCCCCATTAGCATTTCTTCAAAAACATAGACTGATTTTACTACACACAGCAGGGGCAGAGATATTTCTAGAAATATTGGTGTCATGAATAAGCTAAAAAAATGATTTTCTCCCACATATATTTTTATCATTATACAATACCTTAGTCCTACACTATATTAACTATTGCAATCTCTCGTGGGCCACCACAGTTGATAAACATACACACCTATGCCCCTGGACAAGTCTTGAGACCACTAGTATTGATAACATTTTTAAATTACAAAAACGTGCTCTCAGGATTTGTTCAGGGTCAAGTCGTACTACACACACTAAACCTTTATTTTATAAATATAATACACTTAATATATTTGATCTAAACAAACTACAAACCTATAATTTTATGTATCGATTTATGAGTAATACACTCCCAATTCATATTACCCTATTATTCCCAACCCAACAGTCTGAAATCCATAACTATCCAACCAGGTTCAAAAAACAATATCACCACAGAAAAATGTATATCTTCTCTTAAAAAAAATCAGTATTTTATAATGGACCTAAGTTATGGAATTCTCTTGACCCCTTTTTTAAATCTTTACCCAGCTTTTCTTCTTTTAAACTTAATATCAAACGATATCTAGTCTCGATGTATGGTAATTAAGCCTTCTACAGTATGTATTATAATGGAAACCAGACTACCTGTTTATGTTTTTAGTTTCTGTATATTTTATTTTATTTTATTGGTGGCCACAATAAGTTTTTTTTTAAAAACTTATTGTGGTCTCCATCCACATAGATTTTTTGAATATATTTGATCATGTATATGTTTTTTTTTTGTTCATTATGTGGAAAATAAATCAATCAATCAATCAATCAAAGCTGGAAAAATTCACTACATCGAGGCCTATTAGATGTAGCCGGTAACCAACAATAAAAAAAAAAAACAGAAAGAAACATTCCCACAACCAAACAAGGTCATGGTACTCTTGAGGAGGGTAAGCACACACAATTTTTGTACTCCATGCTATCTGCTGATCATGTTTATAAAATACACAAATAAATGAAAATACAGTAAAAATATAGTTTTAATAACAATAAATACATAAGGTAACTATAAAACGAGTTGAAAACAAACACTATTTTTATGAAACCTGAAAGCAACATAATCATCAAAGTCTCCATCTCATGATGAAGTGAATTTCATTGCATATTTCAGATTAAGTGAAGGAAAAATATTGACTTTTACTGTCGGTTTTCATTCTACCAGCAGCTTTTCGGACCACATGTTCACGTAACTTCCACTTTTCCTAGCCATGTGTTGATTGTTTTCCAACGCCTAAAGGCCAACTTTCAAACAGTCAATATTAATTAAGCACGTTGGTTTTCGGCTTTTCAACAGGTTACTGTAAAACTTTGCTTTAGCTGCCTCTGACTAAGATATGTTGCATTGTAGCCTACCTACAGTATTGAGAATCATATTAACTGTAATGCTAACAAAAAAAAGGGGTTTTTTTTCAAGGTAAACGTTGGAGAGAAATACAAGATATTTCCATCATTTTAGTGGCTTCTAAATATTTTATTTTATGAAAAATGATATGAAACTACTATCAAAACTTGTACCGACAGTAAACACAATGCTTTCTAATGGTCCATGAAGCATGCTTTGTAAGTCATAAAACATGATCTTATTAATTGCATTTCTGACATTACATAACTTAACAAGATAACATGCAACCAATCTTTTTTAGTAGTCATAGTTGTTCTTTATATCGAAACTAATCACAACATTCACACGGTATTACAGAGTAAGCAAGCACACCCTATAGTACAATACAATGTAAATTTAATAATGTTTTGTATTGCAGGCCAATTTTTTCACACAGAAAAATGGTGGTAAGTTTTTATCACATAAAATGGCCAAGCCCCTTCCTGTCACTCCTACACATTCATGTAATCTATTATTGAGACATACTGTACTACAAATGGTAATATCACATGGACAGTCTGCTATTCTTGAAGTCTTATCTTGGAATGTTCATTATTGACTCATTCACATTCTCAATGAGATTTAAATGACTTTGACATACCGTCCGGGTGTGTGAATATGATGAATCTTGTTAAGAATACATTTTGAAAGAACCCCTTAAAAAGATTGTTACAATTTGTTTTTGTAAACTGAGGCTTTGTGTAAGGATAAAACTAAAAAAAAAAAATATATATATATGAAGGTTACATTAATGCATACAAAATTCCTTTAGTACCACCAAGGCCCAAAAATAGTTTTGAATGCATAGGCAGACATCAATATTCATTCCTTGCAATAATACAAGTACTGTAGGTCTCAGCCTCAAAATACTGCTAACATTTCTTTATTCTTTAGCAGTCATGGATTCTAAAATTCCTTAACTTTTCATTAAGTTAAAATGATTTTCTGCCGGTTCTAGTACCTTGCTTTACAATAGACCGAATTAGTCACCAAAGATGACGTCATCAAAATTTGGCCGATTGGATATTATAAGTTGTTAAAATCGTAAAGTCCTATTCTAATGCATTGAGCAGAGTCGAAAGTGGTGTCTATTAAATTGTCTAAAATGTAATGAAGTTAGCGTAGAAGATAGTTTTTATAACAATACATCTTCAATGATTCATAGATTCATGGGATTCAGGTTGATTTGATTTAAATTTTCATTCAGACTAAAAATATGAAGAATTTTGAGAGGCTTTCTAGGGGGCCTAGGCCCATCGCTTGTGGGACTCGCCACATCCAGCGCTGACTAAGTTGATCACAGTTGATCAAAGGTACATATTCAGCTTAAATGCATTCACCAAGTCATTTTGTTGCAATTTCTGTATGAAATATTTAAACTATTGGACAAACTTTAAATTGCTGAATTGTAAAATAAGATGCTTCTTTTGACTATGATGGCCAATGAGTCAGAAGAATGTTATTTGTATGATTCTATAGTCTAGGGCTAGTTTTCCATTTGTTTCTTACACCCTTTCAAATGTATTGTGACGTTTATTAAAGAAATATTTACCAAGGCTTTTGATAAGTTATTTACAGAAAAATGTTCAAATAAATAAGTTGGAGGAGTTCAAATACTGTAAAATTTTACTTGAGCAGAGGCTCTGTATTATTGTGTGAAAAAACTGCCACCAAGCTGTATGTTTTAATGTTATACCCACTATAAAGGCTTAAGTTTGGTGACTAATTTGGTCTATTGTGTGTTTTCAATTACCAATTTATCAACAAACAATAATCATATTGGTACAAAATTCAATATAGTCCCAGTCTGTACATTCTACCTAACATGCTTTTGGCCAATGTCACCCAACCAGTTTTTCATGATTGCTTTATGACTTTCATAATTATTTGTTTTATCAGCTCCATTAAGCTAAACTTTTGTTAACATTGTACAATCAACATGACAGTTTGCAAGATCAAGGTCCTTCTTGCAAGATCAAGGTCCTTCTTTCATAGAAGCATTTGTCAAACTATGGACTGTATTTACATCCTGGTTTTCAGTAGGTTGTTTTTTCAATAACAGATTCAAGATTCATGAACTGTATTGTCCATTAAATAACAGAAATTCATTTGAAGCCAAACAGAAGTATGCACTCAACTCAATTTTAAAAATCGCCATAAACATGTATTACAATAAAGAAGCTTATAAATATTTACTGTAACTATTATGCTAAAAATAAAGACAAATTTAAAACAACACTAATATATTCAAGAAAAGTTTGGTATTAAGGATATTAAAAAGGAGACTGTCATATGACACAGAATCATTGTTATTGTATGGTCATCACATGACCATACAATAACAATGCCACAAGCAACTATCAGGAAAGAGAAGTTTACACAAACCTTTAGATATTACTGTATAAAGGTTGACAGAGGCCTTACTCAGTGGTGGCTGTAGGATATCTTTTCTGAGGGACTAAACTGTCCAACAATGGAGGGGGAGGAGGGCCAAGGCTGATAAGGATAAGGCCAAATGAGATTTTTTATTTAAAGGGGACCTATAGATGACTGAAAATGGTGCTCTCAGACTGTGACCGACATGTAGGCGTAGGCTTTTTTTTTTTTTGTGCAGTTGGGGGGTCTTGACCTGCCCGATGGGGGGTCACAAGATCTGGCATGTTGTGCGTAGCATTTTGGTTTTAGAACTTCCAAAGTGGTGAAAATAGAAATTTAGATACATTACAGTATTAAATGGGTTTGGGAGTTTTTTAATGATCTTTAGAAAATTTTGAGGAGAGGGGAAATTGCCTAAAAGACCAACTTTTTTAAAGCACAACAGGGTGAAGTTTTGTTGTTCTTACAGGGCATCCTATAACCCAAGAAAAGTTTATCTTAAAAATGATAGGATACACTAGTGGGCCTCGCACAATCGACAAAAAATAAATATTATAGCTCAATATTTGTTTTAGTAAAGTAAATCTAACACTTGTTTTTAACTGAAGGTTTTAGGTACACAGAAGCACACGTTTTACAAATAGCAAGAGCCTAGCATAATTGGGACACCTCTCCATTGTCTTCTTTCTGACCAAACACTTAACACACATAACATATAGGCCTAAAATTTGGATGCAACATTCGGAATTGTCTATATTTTATGAAGTTATTATTAAAGATGAAGAACTGTGAATTGCTGGTGTGGTATGTGCCATCTTGTACTCTCCGCTCTGGTTCTGACAAACTTTTGCTTGTTGAGCCTAGGTCTTGTACATGTCTATGGGGTGATAGATCTTTTGTGGTAGCGGCACCACGCCTTTGGAATAAACTTCCATTTAATATTCGTTCATGCCAGTCCACTGCCTCTTTTAAAAGGGCTCTCAAGACACATCTATTGTCTGCTGCTTTTGCAGTTTCTTAGTTTCCTTTTTGCCTTGCTCACTGTAGTGCCTTGAGCAATACTGCAGTGGATATTATTTGTAAAGCGCACATATTTGCTCTGATTTTTTTTCTTTTTTCTTGAATATATTTTTTCCATCTTTTTGCAGTGTTTTTTTTTTTCTGGCCGTCACTTTGGTCACTTCCCATGCTTAGAATTTTTCTGTGCTTTGCCGAAGCATAGGCCATATATCAAGGATGTGCCTCCTAATATTTAGTGTCAATCTATGGTGGGGTGTGCGTGTGCGGATCAATTAAAGTGATTTAAAGTCAAACAGTCTACATCGGATATTTCAAAAACCGGTAAGTTGATTGGAATGAAACTTACGGGAAAGTTTAATCAAAAAGAAATTTTTTTGTGTTAGTGACGATTCAGTGAAGAGTGTAAATTTGAGGGTCTTTTTCAAATTTCAAATATCTCTTTTAAAAAATCCAGTGAGTCTAAATGAAACATTCTATAATACTTTGTAAAGGTCTTGTAAAAGAATGATTAAATTTTTTGGATGATTCACAGTATTATGTGGACCTGAGGACCATTTAACATCCCAGACAACATATTTCGAAAACGGATCAACTGATCTGAATGAAACATTCGGAAAAAGTTTAACCAAGTTACAATAAGGAAACTGTTATGTTCTGACGACGAATCAGTCAGGGGTGTAATTTGGAGGGTCATTTCAATTTTTGAGGACCCAGACCTAAATATGTTTTTAAGAAAAAATCAATGGGTATAATTAAACCTTGCATAACGGTTTCTCAAGGTCGGGTAAAGAAATTAGCAAACTTTTGTGACGATCCGGAGTAGGGTGTAGATCTGAGGATCATTGAAAGAAAACGTCCCAGACCACATATTTCAAAAACAGATCGACTGAACTGAATGAAACATTCGGAAAAAGTTTAACCAAGTTACAAGGAAGATAGTATTATGTGTTGGTGACGAATTAGTCTAGGGTGTGAATTGGAGGGTCATTTAAATTTTTGAGATCCCAGATGTAAATATCTATAAAAAGTTTTCAATGGATGTATATGAAACTTTCTACAGTAGTTTGTAAAGGTCCAGTAAAGAAATGACTGAATTTTTGTGATGATCCGGAGGAGGGCATGAATATGAGGACCATTTAAAGGAAAACGTCCCAGATCAGATATAATACAAAAACTTTCGGGAAAATTCAACCCAAGTTACAAGGCAGATATTATTATGTGTAGGGGACGATCCAAGTTAGGGTGTAAATTTGAATTGCTTACATCCCAGTTATAGAGGGATAAAAATAACACTTTGCAGAATAGTTTTTCATGGTCAAATGAAGAATTGATCCAATTTTGGTGATGATCCGCAGTAGGGTGTGGATATAAGGATCTTTTAAAGATTTTTTGTTGACAATTGATTAAAATTTCAGTCACTGAATCGCTATGAACTGAAAATTAACTCTCCTATTCAAGGTCGCCTCATATGGCCCGCAATGGTTATGAGTCACGATGTACCTCGCTATTATCATAATTCAAGTCTCACTAATAACGTTGCAGTGAACTTGGTTTTTGTTTTTTTTTCCACTTCATTAAAATTATATTGGTTTTCTGTGTTTTCTTTTTACTTTATTAACGACTTTCCTTTTTGTTGCAATTTCAATTTCATTTCTCATTAAATCAAGGGTGAAAAGCCCTATGTTCTGTTGTTCAAACAGACATAGTAAGTCTAGTTATGAGTATTAATATTGTTAAGTAATAACTTACTAAAATTCAGATAATTTCATAGGTCACACCAATGTCAGAGGCCTAAGCAGAGTGTTAAGTGTTAGTTATGTCGACTGACCTTAGATAGGAACATACGCAGTTCAAACTACAAAATGGATGGTGTCATTTAAGCTTGTATATCAAAGACACAAACTTTGATCTTTTGACTATAAATCAACAACTTTAGTGGAAACACCTGAAAGTCAGAAGACATACTTCCAGGAAATTCATTCTAGTGGTGAATTGGGCATTCTAATGAAAGGCAATAGCCTGGTTCTTATATCTTATACTTATATCTTAAATTTATATCTGGAGATACATCCACTCATCTGATATAAATTTGACGTGAACCAGCCAATTTTGTCTACAGTAACTACACTAGATTAATGGTAAATTAACCTGCTCGGATAACAAGGACACGATTACGTAACATTTGTATCTAAGCCAGCGTTGTTGTTATCCACCACCATTATCATCATCTGGCTGGAAACAACGTACTAAAACAATGCTAACAACAGCAGCAAACCATCCTGGTTTTCAGGAATTATTTGTAAACCCAGTAAAGGTCCATTACAAATAGTCAATTTTACAAATGACCTTTGCATTTCGCATCATTGACCAAGTAAAAAAGTCTGATTGCATACGTTTTTCAAAGTGATAATGTACATTTTTCTTAATAAAATCAGGTTCGTTGTATATATTTATTGACAGTTTAATCTTTTCCATTTCTGCTATAATAATCGCTATTAATTCAGTTTCAATGAACCACCGCCAACACCAGTCGTTGAAATGAGCTCACACAATTCAGCGATCTAAAAACTACAAAAAACACGACAGAAATTTCATAAAGTATACAGATGTTTAAATAAGAATTAAAACAATATATTGTTAAATGGGAGAATGCTAGCGATTAAAATAATTTGGTTTTTATTAAAGGTAAATTTAGCTAGAACCTAGGCTACTACTATTGCAGTAGACACGCTGCTGCATTGTCGGTTGGTTCGTACTGCTACTACTAGGGTACAATAATAGACCTGGTCTACGTCAGCCTATATATCAATGGCAGAGGATTGCTAGGCTAGAAATCAGCTTAAATTCATCTTAAGTACATTTTTAAGACAAATTTATCCATATTTAAAGTCAATTGTACATTGGCGCCATCTATTAAGGACGATTTTTAAGCTAAGAATTTGCTAAGATTGGGTAATAAATCAGTTTAAGATATTTATTAGGGACATATCAATTTCTTAATTATACTCTAGTGATGCTAAATCAGCATTGAAACCTTGGTCCCAGAAAAATGGTCACGGGGGCCCTGATTTTCACTATACTACTATGGTGCCATTTTCATAGAATCAATCAGCAGATTTCCTGGAAACTCAGCAACTATCAATACCTAGGCACAAAATGTAGTCTAGAGCTAATATATTTCATTTGCCCACAATGAAACTTTAGGGGTATCATGTGGGCTAAGTGTCCTAACTCATGTGTGAATTTCCCTAAAATCGAGTTATATACTTTGTGATATTTTGGGTCAAAGGTCAAAGTCATGTGACTTGACCTATATAATTCTCACTAGTCCGGACACCACCGAGTTGCATATCATTGGAAAGAGGATCTTCTTCTCTATCCAGCGGTACCACTTCTCTAATACATTGAGTTTCAAAAGAGATATCAGCAGTTGTCAGTCAGAAGGTGAGTTTTATAGCCAAATCTCATGAAAATTTCAAATTGCTCTAAATTGAATTGAACAGCAGACCAAGGATCTCCAATGTTTGGCAAAAATACAGTAACCAAGAATAATTAATTTTAGTGCTAAATGTAAATACATTTTAGTAATTTTGAAGGATAAACAACAATTCAAAATACTGTCCATCTATTTTTCCCGCAAATTTTAATATACAATAAGACGTCAATTTTACATACCCCTTGGTACCAAGGAGGTTTGTAAATTGAAAAATTTGTAAACTAGATCGATTGTCAGTTTCCAATACCTACAGTAGGCCTAGCTATATCCTGCTATTGAGCGCCGCTAGGATGGCGGCCAGGCCAAGCATGAACCGACAGTGCTGCAGCGTGGTCTACAGCACTAGAGCCTAGCTGAATTTACCTTTGATAAAAACCAAATTATTTTAATCGTTGGCAATCTTCCACTAACAAAATATTATTTTAATTCTTATTCAAACATCTGTATGTTTTATTATACCTTTCTATAGGGTTCTTTCTATATACTGTACTGTGAAATGTTCTTTACTGTATAGACTAAACGTTCTTTCTAGTTGTTAGATCGCCGAATTGTGTTGTTTACATGCATTTCACGATCATATCTTCTGTAGCATTCACGATGTCAATAAAGTTGCTGAACATGTGCGCTCAATCCGACGACACTTGCGTTGGTAGTTTGTTGTTCTTGTTAGGTATATTACATTAATATAGTGATTATTATACCAGAAATGGAAGAAAAAATCAAACTATTAATAAATAAATACAAAAACTTGATTTTATTAAGAAAAATATACATTATCACAGTAAACGTGCGCAATCTGACTTTTTTTACAGTAATAATTGGTCGATGATGACGTCATCTGGGGTAAGGTCCATTCGTAAAATTGACTATTCGTAAAATGGACGTTCGTAAAATGGACGTTTTACTGTACTTACCTATAAGAATAAGGTCCCTTTTGAACAAAATATGGTTTCTCTCCTTTCATAACTTCTAATGAATTAATGCAATCCCACACCCAGAACTGAATATATACAGGAACTGGTGCATCTATCCAATTTTCATAGCCTGTAGATCCATTCTTTAATACTATTTGCTGTTGAGAATATCAATTACCAGTATTAAACAATTATAAATGGTCTAATGATCAGAGTGACACTGGATTTTGTAAGGTGTGCAATGATAATTCCATTAAAGACATTGATCATTTTCTGCTTGTATGTCCAGTTCTTGAAAACATTAGAAGGATGGAAATATTACACTTTAAAAATAATCTCCAATCACTAAACTTTCACCACGTTTGGGATAAATTTAACTCTTTAAATAATACAGAAAAGGTATGTTTTATTCTTGGCAATGAAAATGAATTATATAAAAAGGAAATTATTGTGGAAATTGATAAATTTAGCAAATCATTGTCTAAAAACCTGTGGAAAGAAAGGTCATTATTATTGCATACCTCTACCTCATAAGTAATATTTTGTGTTGTTGTGTTTTTATTTATTTTTTATTTTTTTATTTATTTTTTTTTTTTGTGCTTACCTGTATCTTAATAACGTAATAATTTGTTAACTCTAAAAATAGTATTACTACTACAGTATTACAGTGGATTTTGTTTCAACACCAATACAGTATTGAATACTGTTATTGTATAATTGTTTTGTATAACTTTTAGTCTCTTTTAGTTTAGTTGTTTTTTCTTTCTCATTGAACGCACCAAAATGGTGTGTGCCACTGAAACAAAAGTGTATGTTCAGTTGAATAAATGAATAAATAAATAAATTAATAAATAAACTTAAACTTATATAAAACATAAATGCTGGCATACCATTTAAAATGTGAAAGTAACATGGACTTAAAGTAAGCAGGCTTAAGGTGGATTTGTTCTGGTTTATAAAGTATGCAATAGAAAATACTGTAGATTAATTAGTAGTATAATTAAATATAAATTGCATTTAATAAATTAAAGAAAATTACTGTACTGTGGGGGGTGGGGAAGAGGAGACAAAATATATAATTCATGTATGCATTGCTGTAAATAAAAAAATGTTGAATAAACTTTATAAAAACAGATAAATGCTTTTACATTGCGAAAAAATGCAAGTTTTAATAGGCCTATGAAGAATGATATTGACACGTTGTTCACGCACGAGGCACGACAATTAGGACCTACATTTTTTGTTATAATTCCATGTAGTATGGTTAAGTAGACAGTACAAACAAACCATGTAAGCCCAACAATAGAACCCTAACAATTAATAACTATATTTATACTAATACTAATATTAATAGAAAATACATCAATTAACTTCAATTATATACATACTGTTAAAAGCTGTACAAAAACTGTATAAAAAAAAACTATTCTTTGGCATGGAATCATTTCAAGCCAAACAATGGTTCTTTGAAATACAAAAAAAAATGTTCTATTTTAGGTTTTTGTTTCTACTGCCATCGAAAACTATTCAACAACTCAATCAATTAAGCATTCAATCACAACAGCACTTGCTTCATTAAAAAAAGGTCCAATCACAATTGTTCTTTTCGTTAGTACTGTTTTCTTTCTTTGTTTTCTTTTATTTTCCCAAGCATTCCCTCATCTTTGGTGAATAGAGACTTTCACTCTTGCAAGTTTGATAAAATTTGTCATACCATTACATACTACTGTTTACAGAATTTACTAATTCTATTTACTAGTCAACAAAAACACTTACATCAACCACCATGTCATCTATAACTTTGTTGGCTACTGGTATGAGAGCCACTCCTATGAGGGAAATGAAACATCCAATCACCAGGAGCACGATCAAAGTTGTCGAGCCTGCCATTCTCGATACGTAGAAATAGGATATTTCAAACCATCAAACTTACATATGTCTTGATAAACTACAGTCTGAAAGAAAAAGCAATTATTGTTAATGTTATGTCATTTTCTCATTGAACAGAAATTGGGATTCAGATGTGAAGTGGAAGATCTTTTCTACTGAAAACTGGGCTAAAAGACCTGCTATCAAAAAGTATGTTTTTTCCCTTTTAATGCATGTTGACTTTCTGTAGTTTCGGATGATGTGATTTAATTTAGTCAGTTCAGAAAATGGTCAATGTAGAATCAGTGAATACTGAACTGTTTATAATACTGCATACAGCTGTTAATCAGACGAGTTTATCTGACCATCAAAATCTCATAATGCCAAGTTATAACAACACAATGAGAACCAACTCAAAGTACTTTACAACAGAGTATAATACCTGGCAAATTTCAGAAGTCGATGCAAAAGATTTTGATTATCATATTGTGGGGGTCCAGCATAAGAATTTCTCTTTTTAGGGAAAGCATCGTTTTCTACCATTAAAATGGGGACAATTAAAAACATGTAAAGAGATAGCAACCTTCTCGCAACTTCTGACCTCTCGCATTATATTATGCCATTTATTATTTTTTTTAAATGGAAATCTGAAAACTATGGCAATAATTCACAATCTAATCTAAGTATCATTATTAAGCCTGTTATGTTTTCCTTAAAACAGGCCCGCGCTTTGGTTAGAACAGAGTGCTAAAACGAGGTCTATAAAGCTCTCTAAAAAGAGAGCTCGTTAGTGCTATTTAGAGCTCGTATTTAATTACGAGCATGGCTTTGTTTTATCTCTTTATCGGCCGATTATCAGCAATTACTACTTGTCTTATCACACTCTAAACGCAAAACCCGACCCAAGCTGAGATAAGCCCAAGCGTTTCCCAGTCATCCATGCAAAGCAGAGTGAGCATGCATGCAGTACTGTAATTAGATACAGTACCTCCTGATCCAACCAGCCACGAAGAGCGCACCTCACCACCGCGACTGCGTATGAAACTCTTGTAATTGGAAGTCTCAAACTTACTTAATTTATCCTTTAGTTTGTAGCTGGTGGTGCTGCTTTGTTAGCGACGTGTTTGATACACCTCAAAGCAGGCAATATCTGTATAATATAATAGGTACGTTCAAGGTACCCAATATCTGGAAACGCTCATTAATTCATCCACTGGCAAAAAAGAGTAACCCTAAAATTTTAAATGATTATAGACCAATTGCTATCACAGCTGTGTCTATGAAATGTCTTGAGAAATTGATTAAAAAAGAGATTCTCAATGAAACAGGTGATAAATTAGACTACTGTAGCATCAATTTGCTTACCGTTCATATTCTCTAGGGTTTTATTTTTAGATTTTTCTTCTGTTTTTAATACAGTACAACCACATGTTTTAATAGATAAATTAGTTGTTTTAGGTATAAACCGGTCTATTATTTTATGGCTTAATAACTTTTAATGGATAGGGAACAGTTTGTGTGTTTTAACAAATGTAAGTCAGAAATCCGTAAGTGCAACACTGGAGCACCTCAGGGCTGTGTCCCTTCTCCTATTCTTTTTTCTTTATAATACGAATGATTTTAACTGTATAGATGGTGACATTTTAACCAAGTGTTTTACAGTAAAATATGCAAATAATACCTGTCTAGTTGGACTTGTAAAAGGTAATTCGACTGAAATCTACTTTGAAAATGTAAATCGTTTTTCATGTTGATGCATTGATAATTATTTGCAGTTGAATGATAAGAAAACTAAAGAGATGATTATAGATTTTAAGAGTAACAGAACACATGATATGTTGTCTATTATGGATGATTCAGTTGAGATTGCTAAACATCATAAATATCTAGGTACAATACTTGAATTGGATAAACTTAATTCGAAAGAGAATACAAACATTGTTGCTAGCAAGTGCAATCCTAGTCTCTACTTTTTAAGGCGTATGAAGAAATTCCATGTTTGCAATGGAATCATGATAATGTTTTATGAATCTGTAATTTTATGAGTTTTAAGCTTTAGTGCAATAGGTTGGTTTAAGAACCTTAATAAACGGAACACAAAATTAATTTTTAATTTCCCTAATTTCGGTGTCCTTTCTTGGTACGGTACCCTGCTTTTTCTTTTACTTGTTTTGTAGTAGTTGTTGCTGTGGTTGTTGTAATTGTATCATTTTTTTCTTATTTTTTTTTTGTACTTTAATGTTGTGATGATTTTTAAGCGAGAATTTTAAATGTTTCATATTTATATTTTGTATATTACTATTAATTTTTCTGTACATTTCAAATTTTCCTTAAGTTTGCAAATGAAGTTATTTTGAATCTTTTGAATCTTTTAAAAGAGTATCAAGAATTCGTAAGACAGCTGAAAGACTGGGGCGGATGCAGGATTTGGCGTTAGGGGGTGAGGGAACAGAAAATTTTAAGAATAGGGACCTCTCAGGGGTGCCTTCCTGATTGCGCAGAGCAGCTAGCAATGCACCCTGATTCGTGTGCGTCTGCAACGCAATCGGAAAAGTTGAACCAGGTTCAACCTTCCCAAAGACTAGCGGTGACTGTTGCTAATAGGGTGAGCGATCGTATGGAAACCGAGCTTTACCCTGACTATGGCACATAATTGTGTGCCTCAGTGGGCAGGGTCATGGGAAGGGAACGTAATGTTTGCTTGTTCCATTACTGGAAGACTATTTTAGGCATGGGGCGGGGGTGGTCTTGGGGTTCTTCTAACTTCGGAAAGTTTTGTTTTTTTCTAGATGCTGAGAAATGCACTTACGTGCATTACGAGACTTCTATTGGCGAATGAATACACACTGAATTCATAGTTCTCCCCCATTTTACCATGGACAATTAATAATTGCAATGATGAAGATGATGATGATAATGATGTGATGATGATAAGGAGGAGGCATCGTAGCAGGTGACGACAGGCTCCTGTGCAATGTTAATTAACAGGCCCTTTGATATGAGTGTCAACTGAGGCCTGTATCCAGAGTTCGTCGTCACATTTTCAATGCAAACAATCGGACAACAGTAATTATCTACAATTTATATAATCAGTACATTCTCGACTGTCATGAAAATATCATTAAAAAAATTACGTTATATGCATGCTCGGACGCGGAAAGTTTAACCTAAAATTTGATATATGTTTCATTTTGTTTGTTGAATGGTCTTTAATGATATTATATTCTAATATGACCACAACATAAGGAAGAACACTTCATCACCAACAAAGTTCAGACCCATATACATTTATATTTCCTTAGGCTTAGAACATAAGGAAGTCTGTTCTGCATACACCGACGTGGGAATTTTGTTTTATGTTGTTTGTTTGAATGGTCTTCTTTAAAAATATTTACAGTCTAATATGACCACAACATAGGGAAGTCATTCTTTAAATGTTTAATAGATAGTACATTTTAAATTAATTTTAAATTTATTTTATACATACTGCTTTTATGCCTTTTTACTTGGAATTTTAAGACCTCTTTTAGTCAATTTTTTCAATTTAAACTTTTCCAATTTCAACATTTATATTTTAACATTTTATGATGTGATGTATTGTGTTGTGCTTTTTTTTGTAGGTGATTGTTTCTTTAAGTCACAGTATATATGTATAATCTGTGAAAAAACAGCCAGAATTTCAAACTGTATTTAACAGTGTTTGCCAATAAAATTGAATTGAATTGAAAATAAATTGAATTGAACTTTGCATCACAGACGTAGTATAATTTTTTTTTAACAAAAGGCATTCCGAAAACCGAATTTCTTACAATTCCGTACAATTTTTTCCAGTCCAAAATGATAAATTCACTTCAAAATAATGAACTATCAGTTAAAAATAAACGTAACTAGAAAACGGTGAATAACAACAAGCATACGAAAACACAGTGACAACGACATGCTTCAATGTAGTTTAACTAACGTTGCCATGGAGATTATCTATTGTTTAAAATGACACGCCTGTAAACGTTAAAGTTGGATACAGCATGGAGGTAGTGAAAGTTTCATTGTTATAATAATGTACAATCTTGCTTGTTTAAACTAATGATAGGGTCTCTAAGACTTCAATCCTTAAAAATCGATTGGAATCAGCCTGAAGTAAAGACAAAACATTTCTCTACGTTTGACTCATTTTATTAGATGTTTAATTTGGTTTCGGACGTCGTTAGGTTCGACAGTGTAAATTACAAATTCGTAGTAGCCTCATTAAACTTAAAACACTTCTCAAAAAAGATGTTGCTAATTTAAGAAGAAATTTGTTAGCTTTATTTAGGTTTGACTCTAAATAAAACTGTGAGGTATTTCCTGTTTGTTTTAAATGACGTTTTTAATTAAAACTTTGTTTTTACTGAGCCTGTTCGTGTGTCATTCACTATGCAATTGTGGGTTATATGATGTCATCAAAACCGAAGCACATGTTTACACACCACAAAACAAATTAACCAATTGGAGGGCAGCGTTTAGGAGGCGCGGCCTGTTGTTTACCAGCGACCAGCAAGTGGCATCATCACGACAAGACAAAGGATGGGTTTAGAAAAATATATCAGACCGAACTTAAAAATTTAAAAACATCAATTTTATTAGTAATATTATTTCCACACACGAAACAGTTTATTACAAATATAGTTGTACGTTCATGCGAATGTTCATGTATGTTCATGATTGTTGAATGCCGTTATTTGGCAGTGCTCAATAAACTTACAAACATGCGTGTTAACAAAATATAATCAGTGTGTGTGTGTGTGTAATACTTTGTCTTGTTTGCCTTGTAGAAAACTGCATTTGGAAATGAGGAAGAGATGCAATGAAATTTGTATGTGTATTGAAGGTGTAGTTTTGTCATAGTACAGAGTGTTCATCTCCATGATATGAACACAAAATTGAGAACTGCTTAAAAATAAACACGCCTTGTTTTAAATGCTCAGACACACCCGTTAAAATTTGTTGTCTGCTAATTCAAAAGTCCATCAAAATATATGTTTAATTTTAATAAACTTAAATTAGTCTTATAAGGTATGTAAGCAAAATATTGGAATCAGGGTTCGTGTCAGTTCAATGTCTTTGATTATGTCTAAGGTTTTCTACCTTAAATTCTAACTAAAATTATTGTCATGGATGAGTGAGTGTGCAACAGAGACTGTCGTGTGGATCTAATTTATTCTGCATTTAGTGTTCCGCGAGAAAGCAATTTGCATACAGGTTTCTCAGTGTTATATATACTGATCCTGTTGTTCACGCAGCAGAAGAAATGCTTTTGTTGTAAACAGAACACAGTTTGTCTGTGTTATTTCGTTGCCATTTAAACCAAAGATGTGGTTACTAAGTTAAATGCAGTTGCCTATTTTGTAAGTAGTTTGTAACATTTTTCGAATACACACTTCGTACAGATACAGAATCTGACTATTAAATATAGTATCGAATGCGATAAGAATCAATACAGTAGTTATTTTTAAGCAATGCTTGATGTTATGCTATGCTATGTGAAACCTAGTGTAATGCAATGTTATTTAATTCTTTACTTCTAGACTAGAAAAAAAATCTGAAAAAAATGAGTTAGGGGGAGTGGAATGTTAGAAGCAATCCACATAGCCATATATCCTAATTAATCCCTTCTGGTCACCCTAAGCCCTGTTGACACTTGATTTTTCACCTGGTATACAAATGGCGGCCAAAATTATCTAAAATGTGCATATAATTGGAACTAAATAAGCTACAGATATGATGTTGGTGTCTAAAANNTTAAAACACTTCTCAAAAAAGATGTTGCTAATTTAAGGAAGAAATTTGTAAGGTTTTATTTAGGTTTGACTCTAAATAAAACCGTGAGGTATTTCCTGTTTGTTTTAAATGACGTTTTTAATTAAAACTTTGTTTTACTGAGCCTGTTCATGTGTCATTCACTATGCAATTGTGGGCGAAGCACATGTTTACACACCACACTACAAAACAAATTAACCAATTGGAGGGCACCGTTTAGGAGGCACGGCCTGTTGTTTACCAGCGACCAGCAAGTGGCATCATCACGACAATACAAAGGATGGGTTTAGAAAAATATATCAGACCGAACTTAAAAATTTAAAAAAATCAATTTTATTAGTAATATTATTTCCAAACACGAAACAGTTCATTACAAATATAGTTGTACGTTCATGCGAATGTTCATGTATGTTCATGATTGTTGAATGCCGTTATTTGGCAGTGCTCAATAAACTTACAAACATGCGTGTTAACAAAATATAATCAGTGTGTGTGTGTGTGTAATACTTTGTCTTGTTTGCCTTGTAGAAAACTGCATTTGGAAATGAGGAAGAGATGCAATGAAATTTGTATGTGTATTGAAGGTGTAGTTTTGTCATAGTACAGAGTGTTCATCTCCATGATATGAACACAAAATTGAGAACTGCTTAAAAATAAACACGCCTTGTTTTAAATGCTCAGACACACCCGTTAAAATTCGTTGTCTGCTAATTCAAAATTCCATCAAAATATATGTTTAATTTTAATAAACTTAAATTAGTCTTATAAGGTATGTAAGCAAAATATTTATTCAGGGTTCGCGTCAGTCAATGTCTTTGATTATGTCTAAGGTTTTCTACCTTAAATTCTAACTAAAATTATTGTCATGGATGAGTGAGTATGCAACAGACAGTCATGTGGATCTAACTAATCCTGCATTTAGTGTTCCGCGAGAAGGCAATTTGCATACAGGTTTCTCAGTGTTATATGTACTGATCCTGTTGTTCGGGCAGCAGAAGAAATGCTTTTGTTGTAAACAGAACACAGTTTGTCTGTGTTATTTCGTTGCCATTACCAAAGATGTGGTTATTATAAGTTAATTAAATGCAGTTGCCTATTTTGTAAGTAGTTTGTAACATTTTTCAAATACATACTTCGTACAGATACAGAATCTGACTATTAAATATAGTATCGAATGCGATAAGAATCAATACAGTAGTTATTTTTAAGCAATGCTTGATGTTATGCTATGCTATGTGAAACCTAGTGTAATACAATGTTATTTAATTCTTTACTTCAGCTTTTGGAGAAATGGTGTTTATTTATAATGGATGTACTCAGTAATTTAAATCCATCAAGTTGATTCAAGTATTAATATGTTTAATACTATATACAGCAATTATTTGCTGCATTGTATTTATTTATTATTTATTTATTTTATTTTTTTTTTTATTTATTTATTTTTTTTTAATTTTTTTTTTTTTTTAAGGCACACAATACATGTGGGTGACAATCCCTTACACAAGTCAAACATACACACACAATACTTTACACAAACTAAATCTCAATATGAGATTTAGGGAGTGAAGTTGTTTTGTCCTGCAACTGGCAGGAATTGAACCCAGGACCCTGGGATTGGAAGGCAAGCATCTTAACCACCAAGCTATTCAACTCCCCTCTATATTACATATATTTACATATGACTTGCTATATTATTAAATGCATAGTGTCTATTACAGTGGTAATAATAGTGCTAATATTAATAATGTTAATTTTAATGTGATATGTTTTTGTTATTTTCATGATGGAATAGACAATAACTGGATTTGCATCAGGAGAATCAAGTATAGGTTTAATTTTGCCCTACCTGATGCCAGGCTAGTGATCTGGAGATCATGGGTTCGAGTCCCACCTAAGAACAACTTGTGATTTTTTTTTTTTCGCAAATTTGCTTTCACATGTACTGAGTATTCAGTACATTTCCATGTCAGGTTGGGCAAAATTACACCTATACTTGATTCTCCTGACGCAAATCCAGTTATTGTCTATTCCATCACGACAATAACAATTACTAACATTGCAGTACCCGCTGCTTACTTGGACTCTTAATTCAAACCTGGCCATCAGGCGCAAGGTGGTCTAGAGGTATGTTGCAAGCTCATTGATCAGGAGATCGTGGGTTCGAGTCTCACCCGAGAACAACTTGCGATTTTTTTCGCAATTGTTTTCACACGTACTGAGTATTCAATACATTTCCACGTCAGGTAGAGCAAAATTACACCTATATTTGATTCTCTTAATGCAAATCCAGTTATTGTCTATTCCATCACAACATAAACAATTACTATCGACTACATTATTGTGAGTGGAAATACTACCGTCTAATTTACAATCAAACAAGACTAGAAAGATACTGTAGGAAGCACACAAAAAATTAGTTAACATTTTTATTTCACAAACATGAAGGTGATTTAATTAGTTTATCATATCATGACGTCATGGCGAGATCACTACTAAGTTGAAATAGATAGACCTATCCATGTCAAAGGCTGTAATTATTGTTTAATAACAGCTATAAAAAAAATTCAATTGACTAACTATAATTTTTTTGAAATTAGGAAAAACAGGAATCTATGTATGCAGATAATATCAAACACTAGTAATAGGCCTACTGTAGTAAGCCCCTACCTACAGTCTTAATAATATACAAAAGGAATAAATCATTTATAGGAGAAATTGTGCACTTTTGAATTTGTAAAAATATTGACATGATGTCCCCCTCCTAGGCCTACCTGCCCTAGGCTAGTTTGAATAGTGGGGGGGGGGGGCGGAGAATGTGTGCCTAGCTAGGCCTAGATTAGAATTTTCCAGGGTTACTAATCTAGTCTACTGGCCTAGCCGCGCCGAGGCCAAGACTCGGCCAATGCCGATGAATACTACTCTAGGCCTGGTGTCCTAATGCTCTAAAGGGCTAGGCCTAGGGCAGGGTCAAGCTTCGGAATCCAAACAAGCCTAGGCACTAGGTTAGTCCTAAATCTAGCATTGCATGCAGGAAGGAGGCCTCGGCTTACCTAAACATTAACATAGTAAACCGGGACCAAGCCTAATAAATATACCACTTTGCTGACACGGACGTGTTAGTAATAATAGAATAAATAGTACTAGGCCTATACCTTAAATTTTACCGTTTTACGTGTCGAGGAAGCAATGAGACAATTAACTTGTTTGATCAATGATAACACGTTAAAACCTCGATGATGAGTGACACAGGGACACTATCTCTCTCTCTTTTACTTTGATCATATGGTTTTCCCATATAACTGTATCACATGACACAAACAATGCAAGTTACCCACGTGCCTAATGGCGAATTATTTTATCGTAGGTAAGTTGAGCAAAAATTTATGAATTATTTATAGCAGAGCGGCTAAGGAGAAAAATCGTGCACTTTTGGAAGAAAGCATGAAACTTCCCACAGTGATACTATGACACCTAAGGATCATTAAAAAAAAAATAGACCCCAAAAAATAAGCCGCTTAGTGGCCGCCATCTTGAAATTCAAAATGGCCGCCAAAATATTGGATTTTTATCAATAATCTTCATATCTACAGCACCTAGCACTGTCATTCAAAGGTCTT